GGCGAGCCGGAGGCGCCCGCGCGCCGCGTGTATGTGCCGGGCCGCGCGCCACCGCCGGGGCAGGGCGAGGAGCTGGTCATGGACGAAGAGGCCTATGTGCTCTACCAGCGCGCGGGCACCGGTACGGAGCGGGGCTAGGCACTAGCGGGCAGGGCCTGGGGGAGGGACTTATCACGTGGGGGCGGGGCCTGGGGAAAAGGGGCAGGACAGGGCCGAGGTCCTGGAGGTGAGGGGTTGAGGGTCAATGGGGCCCTAGGGCAGAGGGAGCAGAGCTGGTTGGGAGTCACGGCCCCAAGGCGGTGGGGCAGAGCTGGCCTCGGAGCTGACCCCATCTCTCCTTCCCCCCCATAGGTGCCCCTTGCCTGAGCTTTGACGTGGTGTGGGACACGCTGGGCGAGGGGCGTGACTGCTTCCCCCTGTCCCTACTTCTCTGTGCTGGCACACAGGCCGAGACCGCCCAGGCCAACAGGTCAGGCCCGGGGGTGTGGAGGAACCGGTGCCAGAATTGGCTCCAACCCACATACCCTCCTGCGCCCAGCCAGGGGGCAGGGGTTGGAGCTGGGATACTGGGCTGGGACTCAGCAGAACTTATTGCACATCCAGGGCACCGCACATGGGGGAGGGGGTGAGGCCTGGATCAGGGGCAGCAGCCCCTGGAGACAATAGGCTGCCCACCCCCTTTCCACTCCATGCACCAGCCAATGCTGCTGCCCCAGGGTTGGCCCAAGGTGGGAGCCACCTGGAAAAGAAAGGTCCCTGCCACCTCCCCACCCTTGGGAGTTGGTTGGCGACTGTGTTTCCTGGGTGTCTGTAGCCTCAGCAAGTCCCTCTCCTGTGGGCAGGCTGCTGGTGATGAAGATGCACAACCTTCATGGCACACGGAAGGTTGCCTCTGAGTCCGAAAGCAGCGAGAGCGAAGAGGAGGAGGAGGAGGATAAGAAACCCCAGCTGGAACTGGCCATGGTCCCCCACTATGGAGGCATCAACCGTGTCAGGGTACTGCTGACCCCCTACCCCACATGTGCCCTCCCTCTAGCTGTCCCAGCCACAGTTAACTCTTTTATTCTTGGCAGGTGACCTCGCTGGGCGGCACCCACATAGTGGCTGTGTGGTCTGAGAAGGGCCAAGTGGAAATCTATGACCTGCAGTGTCCCCTGGCGGCCCTGTCCGACCCACAGACCATGGTCACTTTTCTGCGGGAGGAGCAGGCAAAGATCAAGCCTCTCTTCTCCTTCGCAGGACATATGACCGAAGGGTTTGCCCTGGACTGGTCTCCTAAAGTGGCAGGTGAGCAGGGGCCACAGGTTGGGAGTGTGGAGCGCTGGCAGAGCTGGGGAAACCCAGTGAGGGGCATCTACAGAGCTGTAGCCACCACCTCTTCTGTTTTTTAGGCCGTCTCCTCACAGGTGACTGCAACAAGAACATTCACTTATGGACGCCCAAGGAGGGTGGGACATGGCATGTGGACCAGCGCCCTTTCACTGCCCACATGGCCTCTGTAGAGGACCTGCAGTGGTCACCCACTGAAGCCACAGTAAGCAGGGACCTTAACCTAAAGCACTGGTGAGACCAGGGTGAACAGCCTGTGGGGCTGATCTGGGGCAGGATACTCAATTAAATTGGCCTGGGGGCAGGGAAAGGAGTGGAAGACCAGGCTGGATGGTCCAGGGAGGTGGGCTATGCAGTGCCCCTCACTCCTTGAACTCTGCCTAGGTGTTTGCCTCATGTTCGGCCGACGCCTCAGTGCGAATCTGGGATGTGCGGGCAGCACCAAGCCAGGCCTGCATGCTAACAGCCAGCCAGGCCCATGACAGTGACGTCAACGTGATCAGCTGGAACCGCCATGAGCCTTTCATTGTCAGTGGCGGCGATGATGGCACCATCCGCATCTGGGACCTGCGCCAGTTTCAGGTCAGCATGGTGTCCCTCACTCCTGACCCGCAGCCCCATGCCAACCCAGCCCTGACCTTCCCCAAGCCTTGCCTCTCTCCTGACCCATAGACCACATCAGCCCAGCCCTGGCCTGCCCCTACCTCTCTCACCCTCCCCCTCTTCCTTCTGCAGAAAGGCACCAGCGTGGCCACATTCAAGCAGCACACAGCACCTATCACCTCGGTGGAGTGGCACCCCACGGACAGTGGGGTGCTGGCAGCTGCAGGGGCTGACGACCAGGTGACACAATGGGACCTGGCTGTGGAGCGGGACCAAGAGGCTGAGGGGGAGAGTGATGACCCAGCCTTGGCCTCCATCCCCCCGCAGCTGCTATTCGTGCACCAGGGCGAGACCGACATCAAGGAACTGCACTGGCACCCGCAGTGCCCTGGTGTCCTCATCACTACCGCCCTATCCGGCTTCAACATCTTCCGCACCATCAGCGTGTAACCCTGGGGAGGGGCAGCTGGGGCACAGGGACAGCCCCACACAGCCTTGGGACTAGGCTGTCAGAGCCAGGGAATGGCCAAGTGCCCCTCCATCAGCACCACGTTGCCTTCTCTCCCTCCCAGGACTGTTTTGGCTGCCGTTGCACAGGATACCTGCACACTCTCTCTTAAACCAGCATCCATGTTATGCATCCTCCTTCCCTTCCACCTTGCAGATGATGTCTCCCAGTTACAGGCTTCTACCATTGCAAGGAAAAGGGATGTTGAGCAATTTGGGAAATCAGTGTTGTGTCCCCCCACCCCCACTTCCTTTTCTGTTGGTGCTGCTGGTAGATACTATTACACAGAAGGTGGGGGGGTCTGTTTTTATAGTAGGTGTATAACACCCTCCTTGTCTTTTTCAGGTGCCAGTTGCTACCATTATCCAGAATGGAGTTGGGGTGGGAGGAGCAGGCATAACCACATACATTGGCTGGAAAGAAGGGGTGGAGGGGACTGTCTGGAGAGTCAGCAGCAGTTAGGAGTGTCTCTTCCCCACCCCCTTCTCTCTGCAGATGGAGTAGCCACGGATTGTATGAAGCAGCATCAGCATCATCTCTCCTCCCCACTGGGCAGTGGTTACTACCATTGTTCAGAATAAGGGGACTAGCAAAACTGTCTAATTCTGCCCCCCTTGCTTATGGACTGTGCCAGCTTTCACAGCATTGAATGGGGGAATCCGCTAGCTCAGCTGGGAGTGGAAACTTGCATTCAGCATCAGGGAACCTTGCGTGCAACTGGAGCTGGGCTGCACCTTGTCCTGAAGAGCTGTGGCCTCGGTGATGCTGACCAGTAGTTTACCAACCATATATTGTACTTGGGTCATTCAGAATGTGACGGGGGGGGGGGTGCAAATTCTCAGTTCCCTTCTTTATGCTGTGACAAGTGGATCCTTCCAGACCTGGTAGCCACCACTCATATGGGAGTGGGGACAAAACCTCTCTCTGGTTTCAGTTTTCCCATTTAAAGAGGGAACACAAATTTTATTCAAATTCCACCCCCACAGTAGTTGGGTTGCTCCAGAGCCCGTGAGAACAGGCACTACCACCTGCAGAGGGGGTGTGGGGAAGGCATCCTCTTCCTGGCAATCCCTTCTCCTCTTCCCCAAGGAAGGAAGTTGGTATAGTCCAACTCCCTTCTTGGGTACTCCCTTGCAGGGAGTGGGGGACTTACTCCCTTGAATGATAGTAAGGGAAAGGCCCTGCCCCATGCCCATAGGGGGCACACGCCCTAGGACAGGACACTGGCCACATGAATGCCAAGGAGGGGTCTGTGGCATAGGTGCAGGGACTGAACCTGCCTGGCCCCTGGGGCAGGGGGGTGCAGACAGCCTGGCTCAAGCACGGTGGGAAGAGCTGTGCATGGCCCTGCAGGGAACCTTTGGAAGCCAGGCCTGTCCCACTACCCCCTCACTGGCTGGGGGGCACAGACCAGCCCCGCTCAGCTACATGTCAACTTCCCCAGGGATGAAGAGGGGCTTCTACAGCTGTCTCAAAAGGCTGCCTCAGGAGTTTGTTTGTTTGGTTTTTTTTGGGGGGGGGGGGGATGTATGGAGAGGGAGGTCACACATAGGATGAGCCATGAGTGCACTGAAAGATTCTTTTTTTGTCCAGATGTTTTAATTAAAATACAAAAATAATAACTCCCCTGGATTCTGTCAGTGGGGGGGAACCCCCAACCCTGCTGGTACCCCTCACTCCTGACCCCACTCTTACTGTCAGTTCATCCCACATACCTGTCCTGTTCCCACCTGGGAGATCAGACCCAGAGCCATTTCCTGTGGCATCAGTCCCTAACTGGCCACTGCAGATGCCACCACTGGGGTCCATGGATGGGCTTTTGGGAGGGAGGGCAGGGGCTGACTGACCCACAGCCCCAGCTCTTTGTCTAGTGGGCAGGGACACCCCCCGCCCTGATCACTGCAGCCCACTCCATTGCAGGGAGGTGTAAATCACGACCCCATCCTCACCAGCCGAGCACAGCAGTACTGTCTTCTTGACACTGGTGCCGAGGCGTGCAGCTGCCACAATGTCACAGAGTGGGAGTGGTGCCCCTGGGGGGCAGCACAGGGCAATGTAATGGGCATGGAAGCGCATGGGGTCCCCTGGTAGGGAAGAAGCACAGAGGTCAGGGAGGGGGGCCCTTGGGGCTGTGCCAGTCACCAGCCCCATGCCAGGAGCCTCCCTAACACCTTCCACCACTGGCTGCCTCACCCCTTCTCTGGACCCACCACTGCCCTCTATGGGGTAATAGTGATACCTTGTCAGTCCCCTTTCTCCATGTATCCTTTAGTAATCCCCACTCCACTGCCCCTTCCTCAAAGCTAGCTCCACTCCAAGCCTGGGCAGTAAGCCCGGCCGCAACTCACCTGGGTAGACAAGGAAATCCCCACCAAACTTGCTGCCACTAGTCACGTAGTACCCTCTGCCCCACAGGTCCCGGAAGACACAGTACCGGGTCTCATGCTCCTGGTGCCCAGCATGAGGCCAGTCCCATGAGGGCTGGGTCCAGTCCACCTGCTCCTCTTGTCCAGGGCAGGGCCATGCCGTGGGCAGCTGCACCATCATGGACTCATGGGGGAAGACAAAAGCTGACTCCAAACGCTCCCGTTCCTCCGCGGGTCCTGGCAATGGGACAGTGTCTGGGAATGGAGAGAGAGTAAGAAGACTATGCCCAGCACAGAGATGCAGCTGCCTCTGGGGTGGCTGCTATGCAGAATACGTACAATGGACGTGAAAACTCATGGGGCTGAATAGGGCCCCTCCTCGCTTCACTAACCCCCCTTGGCACTGCACTAGGGCACCAGGGTCAGCACTGACTACCAGGGTGTCCCCTGCACTTCTCCCTGCAGCATGGCACCAGCTCACTCCCCACAGCATGGTGCCCAAGGCCTAGCACCCTGCCCTGTTGTCTGTGCCCTCTGCTGCCCCACTTGCTGCCAGGTGACCCCTGCCCCACTCCCCACAGCGTGGCTCCTTCCTAGGCTAGCCACCAAGTTTCCCCAGGGATCCCACCTGGCAGCTTCCCCCGCTGCTCCTGCTTGTGGGCACGGCCCTGTGCGATGCGCTCTGCCAGGTTTGCCAGCTGGGCCCAGCGCTCCTGTGCAGCCAAGCACCGTTGCTCCTGGTAGCTCTCTTCCAGCCCCTGCTCGTACAGCTGCCCCTCGGATGCCTGGGCTCAGGGAAAGAAGGTCAGGGCTTGGATGGCAACAGCAGCACAGCCAGTACCTCCACCCCAGGGTCGGCATCCCCTAGAGGGGGAAGGCCCCTACCTTACCCCTACCACCTGGGGCTGGTACAGGCCTCTGGGTCGCTCACCTGGGCCGACTGCCCCTGGGGCTGGGCATCAGCGCTCCTCACTAGCACGGCAGCCCCCATCTCAGCCAGCAGCCGGGCCTCCTCTGAGCCCCCTCTCCACCCCCCAGCGGGCCCTCCTCGGGGAGCAGCTGCAGGGGCAGCCCTAGCCGCACGTTCTGGCGCGGCGCCCGGGCCAGCGCCCCCACCAGGGTCCCCACCAGCCGGTGCCGCTCCCGGATCTCCCGGGCGTCCTCGAAGCGCCACACCAGAGCCTGCCCCGCCAGCACGTGGATGCGGAGCATGGCCCCGGCGCCCCTGGGCAGGGCTGCGAGAAGCAAGCGGCCCCGAGATGCAGCCGGCTCCAGGGTAGGGGCAGGGCACACGGGGCCGCCCCAGAACAGCCAAGAAAACACGTGGGGGGAGCCCCTGCCCAAGGAATCCCCTTATATCATTCCAGGGACGCTTCTCAGACACCCGCCCCCAAACCCCAGAGGATGCCGGGAAACCCTTGTTGAAAGGTCTTCCACTGCCAGGTCCTTCCCACAAAGGGGTGTGAAACCTTTCCTTAAAGGTCCACACACCCCATTCCACCCCCTGAACCCAGCTCCGCCTGGCAAGTAATTCTGGGAAACCTTTCCTGTTAAGGCTATGTCCTCCCCCAGCTCCCTCCCGCAAGGGGTTGTGGGAAGCCGGTTCTTAAAGGGCCACCCGCACTCACACCTCTGCGCGCACCCAGGGGATCGTAGGAAACTAGCTATCAAAGGGTCACACCCACCAGCCTGCTCCGCCTATCTGCGGCTGCCCAGGCGGGGATGGGGGCTGCGCCGTGAGTGACAGCCCCGCTGGCCACTAGCAGAGCGGGGGCGGTGCCGGGGGCAGTGGCCCCGGCCCCGGGCTGAGCTGTCGCGGCGCCATGAGCCCGGAGGAGTGCACGTACCTGGCCGTGCTGCTCGTCTCCGTGCCCGTCGGCTTCGTCTTCAAGCGGGCGGGTGGGTGTGGGTGTGGGTGTGGGTGTG